CCACGTGTTCTTGTTTCGTGCAACTTCCAAACTGCCACTGTTATCAGTCTTTAGAATGACACACTAGTTCTGGCTCACTGATTCACTTATGGCTCACTGATTCACTCCACCAACATGTCACCCTCTCCCCACCATCACTCCACCCCTATCCTATAGATCTAAGTGATTGTAACCAATATATAGTGTGAGAGATCAGAGTACAGGGCCTTCACTGTCTCCTCCAGTAATAAGTGATGACCCCCTGGTCCCACTTTCTCTCTTAGCCTGTCTTTTTCTCATTCCTTTTTCATCACCAACCTCAGGGTACCCATGGATGTGATGTGGGGCTGGTTCCCTATGTTCTGGTGCCCAACATATGGGGCTCCCTAAGTTTTATTTTCCTGCTGGCAAGGAGTTGTGGTCCTTTGGAGGAGAAGAGGGGTTTGGTTTTTGGAATTTTCAGGTCATCTTTGTGGATTTGTCTACCTTTGATCTTTGATGCTGATGACCCTTGGATGGGGTTTTTGCATGGGCATCCTTTTAGTTGATGTCGATGCTATTTTTTTCTATTGGTCAGTTCTCCTTCTAACAGTCAGGGCCAGTTAGGATGGTGATCATTAAAATGGCAGGGAAAAGCAGATGCTGGAGAGGATGTCAAGAAATAGGATCCTTTTACACTGTTGGTGGGAGTGTAAATTAGTTCAACTATGGTGGAAGACAGTGTGGCAATTCCTCAAGGATCTAGAATAGAAAGATCTAAAATCGACACCCTAACATCACAATTCAAAGAACTACAGAAGCCAGAGAAAACAGATCCAAAAGCTAGCAGAAGACAAAAAATAGCTAAGATCAGAGCAGAACTGAAGGAGACAGAGACACAAAAACATCCTTCAAGAAAACACTGAATCCAGGAGTTGGTTTTTTGAAAAGATTAACACAATAAATAGACCACTAGGCAGACTAATAAAGAAGATAAAAAAGAAGAATCAAATAGACACAATAAAAAATGAAAAAGGGAGATCACCACTGATCCCACAGAAATATAAACTACCATCAGAGAATACTATAAACACCTCTATGCAAATAAACTAGAAAATCTAGAAAAATGGCTAAATTCCTGGACACATCCACACTCCCAAGACTAAACCAAGAAGAAATTGAATCCCTGAATAGACCTATAATAAGTTCTGAAATTGAGGCAGGAATTAATAGCCTACCAACCAACAAAAAGCCCAGGATTTTTATATCTTAGTACAAGTTTTAGATTTTTACATTTCTACAGATAGATTGAATAATTGATTGATTTTTAAAGACTTCATTTTTAGAGCCATTTTTAGCCACAGCAAATTGAGAGAAAGGCACAGAAATTCCCCATACACTTCTTACCCCTACACGTGATTTGCCTCCACAATTATGAACATCCCCCACCAGAGTTGTACATCTGTTACAATTGATTCACCTACACGGACACATCATTATAACCCAACTACATAGTTTACATTAAAGTTTCCTCTTGATATTACATTCTATGGGTTTGGACAAATGTATAATTGTATGTATCCACCTTTATCCTATCATATAGAATAGTTCTGCTGCCCTGAAGCCCTGTGCTCTGCATACTCAACTTTAGCCCTGGAAACCACAGATTGTTTTACTGTCTTCATAGTTTTACGGAATGCCATATCATTGGAATCATATAGTGCATATCCTTCCAAGTTAGCTTCTTTCACTTAATGACATGCATTTAAGGCTCTTAAATGTCTTTTTAAGACTTGATAACTCATCTCTTTTTACCACTCAATAATACCCCATTGTTTGGATGTACCATGGTTTATTTATCTATTGACCTACTGAACTTGGCTGCTTCTAAGTTTTTGCAATTATGAATAAAACTGCTAAAAACCTCCATGCACAGGTTTTTGTAAGAACATAGATTTTCAACAGTTTGGGTAAATTCCAAGAAGCACCATTGCTGAATTTCGCAGTAAGAATATTTTTCATTTTATAAGAAACTGCCAAACTGTCTTCTCAAGTGTTTGTACCCTTTTATATTCTCACCAGCAAAGAATAAGCGCTCCTGTTGCTCCATTGTGATGTTGTGCCAGAATTGCTAGCCTTTGCTTTAGTTATTTAGTAATAACTAAAATAAGCAGCCCAGGATAACTAAGATCTGTGTGTAAACAAATGCTTATCTTGACTTCTGTAAACCACTGAAGTAACAAACAGAATGACAAAAGTCCCCTGGTCCTTGGAATGTCCGGAGACCCCCGCCCTCGTCTCCACCCAGGAGGTGAATCACAGAATCCCCTAGACCTTGGAATGTTCAAAACCTTTTCACCCCCATCCCCGCTCCTCACCCCCACTCCCAAGGTGGTTTTTCGGGTATAAAAAGTCTTGGCACCCTCCTTTTGACGCCACAGGTTGGAGAGACGTGAGTCCTCTGTGGTCGCCGGCATAATAAATGACCCTGCAATCTGGCATACTTTTGTCTTGGTGCTAACTTTCTACGCTCGGTCCAATACAACACATATCTGTCATTATTTGGTATAATTATGTGAAAAGATGTTCCACATAAGTTACCAGGAAAATGAAAATTAAAATAGCATTGAGATATCAGTACACACATGTTATTATTGAATGGCCAAAATCCAGAACTCTCACCACACAGTTTTATTTTTTATAATTTGGGTTTTTAAGGTTTATCAGTTTCAAAAAAACAGTTAGTGGCTTTTATGAAATTTCCTTATAGTACCATTCTGTAAATTACCATGTATCACTAATCATAAACCATTATGAAAATCTGCTCATTGGATCTCCTGCCCCATTCTTGTCCTCCTAAAGCACATTCACCCACTTACTAAAGTGATTATTTAAGAGCAAAAATGATATTATGCCCCTTTCTTACTCAAATCCTTCCAGTGCTTTCCGCTTCACTCAGAATAATAACCAAATTCTTTCCTTTTGCAAGGCCTATACAATCAATGCATTCCCATCTCTTGTCACCCAACAGTCTCTACTGCAGAGCACCCCTCTCTAAATGTGCTACTGCTTTTGCCTCAGGCCTGCACTTTTCATCTAACTGTGAAAGCGTGTGTTGAAGTCACTGGGTCGCTGAATGCCTATTAAAATGCCCACTATAATCTCATAGATTACAAGCCCTTCTGGAGCTCAATATTTTTTTTTCTTTACTGTTTACCAGAAAAGTTTTCTCTGTCCTGTATTTATAGTGCCTAATAAAGTACATATTCAATTAAGATAATATTTATCATTCTTTTATCTCACATAAACTCTCTGAAGACAAGGTATAAAAGTGACTAAAAGTGTTTTGTTTGTTATTACACTCACACTACCTTGGGCAGTTCTTGAAAATAGAAATTCTTGAAAATAAAAGCTATGCAACAAATTGTCACATAATAAATAAATTGACTTAAAAATAAATCTATCCATATAAATGCAACAGGATGAGGGCAGAATTCAGAATGGTCACAAAAGTTTCAATGGTATTGTCACTTCAATTTAGAGATAAATTAGAATAGTATCATTAATACATTCACACAGTTTAAAGGTGTTGTTTGCCAATAAAACAATGTAATGTGGAACACAGGGCTTTAAGCTTTTTATATCATGGTCCAACGTTGCCTCTGCCATGTATTATTTCTGTGACCTTGGGTACACTCATTAATTCATTGTCTACTTTTTCACAAATGATAATTAATATGTGAATGTGACAACATTGATAAACCACTTGTTGGAATGCTGGCACATGTAAAGAGTATAACAAGTTATCTATATATCAACAACCTGAGTATTACATATTTGACTTTTATATCTGAATGATTGTAGTTGTAAGCTTCAATGATTTAGAAGTGTTTGTGATGCTCTGCTTGACCCATCTATTTACAGCTACAGAATATAGTAGCTTCTTTTAAGCAGGGTGGAATACTGAAAGTTAGACCGTGGTGACAGTAAAAGTAAATTCCTGGTAGTCATTCTGCCTACTGGGATGTGTATGCTGTCCTTGCTGGAATCTTAAGAACCAGACAGTGTGTTAAAATAAAAAGAATTAAAATTCCTGTGCCGCTAACACACACACAAAACAAAAAAAATCATTAGTTTTCTGCCTTGGATGAACTCCAGAATGAAGTCCAATACTAGTATCTTTAATTAACTTATATAAAATTTCATGTTAATAAAGTTTTAAGAAAATGGTCTACTGTATGAGACTAATTTACTTTAGACCCAGAATTTTAATGAGCAGAACTCTTGGCTTTAAGGTCAAAAGAACACAGTAACACTGGTTCCAAGAGACTCAAAAATAGGTTTTGATACTATAATACATGCTCATTATATTTGTGATAGTACTCTTTTCTTAATAATGGAAGAGAGTAAATCATGCAAGAAAAGCCTACCTTGACCAAATAAACTAGTGAGGATGAATTTTAAAATTATCAGTTTATTTTACATCATTAGAATATGGTTTTGATTTTCATGTCAGAATGAAGACAAGATGTTTCATATTTCAACAGTACAATGCAAAATATTTCAAGATATTGCATTAATTAACAATCATAAATGACCAAGATGGAAATTGGAAAGTCAGCTACCATTATGACTCATAAAATGGAAAACAATAAAGACTTTTTATTTTGCTCTTGGAGACCATAATAATTCTGGGAGCCTACAAAGAGATTTTTTTAGGGTGATTATTTAAAATCATATTTTATTTTTTGATTTTTTTCTTTTCGATTTTTGTTTCAGGTTCATGGAGTAAACAAAAGTTCATATTGTTTGTTTAAGACAATCTTGAGTAGTTTTCCCCCGCCCCTGCCCCAGAATTGCTACTAGAGCCTTTAGGTAAAAGGAAAACAAGGACACCAATTATCTACATTCTAAAGAAAGCCACCTGTAACTGGGACCAGATAATTCTCATTCGAGTTTTATTAAGAGGTAGAGGAATTGACCCTATTATTATCATAATACATAATCAGCTCTCTTCTAGTTAATACATAATCAACACTTAGCCAAAATATTGAAAGCAGATGAGGAGAAGGAGGAAAATAAGAGAAGTGAGATGTTAGAGAAGTTATTATCCTCAGCTATCTGGTGAGTACTATTTTCTTATGTATGAATACTGCTTTCCTTCTAAATGGGATTTTTAAAAGTATTTTCCAGGAGGACACATGAGGAGAGATTTATTAAAAAATAGAAAGCAAAGGTGAAATGATTGACGCAGAACCTATATGTCAGTACTGCAATTGCACATTGAGGAGACAGTACGTACAAGATTAATAATTTATTCAATAAAATCAGGAATGATTTTCTAATATTTAAGTTTCCTATTTTACAACAATCTTCTCCTCAAGTATTACAATTTTCATTCATATTCTTGTAAAACTTTCAATCCTATTTTGTGCTAAAGTACGACTAATAATGTATTTATAGTGGAAATAGTTCCAAAGAAGTTATGCAGGTTAATTATTATGACTAAGTATTTCATAAATGGCAGGCTTTCTTCCAACCTTGACTACTGCTCATAGTGCCCTCCAGTAATTGTGATAACTGATTTTTTAAGTGCCCATAAATTTCTTGAATGTTTACTAAAAGGTGTCTGCTGCTCCAATCATTGCAAATGGTTGAGGTAGAGTCCATATGTGGTGGTGTATATTATTCCCAGAGGCATACCCCACCCACTGCCAGACACACTTTTCCATATCAAGTTCCTGGAATAAGAAAAAGAAGAAAGAGCGGAGTAAGTTATGGCACTACTTTCATCACATGTCCCTGGAACTAAGGTTCAATTCTGGACCTGGTTGAGAAGAGAAACTAAGATTTACATCAACGTTGAGTTTAGCATTGTAAACATAGATTATTATAATTGAACAAGAAAAGATGTGGAATCTATCAAAAATGTTATTAATCAATAAAAAGTTGAGATTCCACCAAGCATAATTAAGCACAATGATTGGAGAAATTATTTCTTCTTTATTCGTCATTATATTGAAACTGTTCAAAATAGTTATCTTAGTACGAGCTTAACCATTAAATTATGATTTGTTCAGAGATTAGATGAGAATAGTGTTAAATCCATTACACTATTTTAAATCTTTCATTTTGCCTTACAAGAAACTTTTATATTTAATCATGTGCAGAGATGACTACTATATTTAATGATTATGTCAGGAGCTATAGGCACCTTGCATACACTATCTTTCAGCAATTTCAAAGAATCCCATCAAGCAGTTTTTATTATCCCCACATTATAGGTAAAAAAAAAACTGAGACACAGAACACACTAGTAACATTCAAGATTATATAACTAACATGTTACTCATGAAGTTTGGCATTATAATTATTGTTTGTCTAAAATGTCAGTCAAGTTGTCTCTCTGTTCACTTCAAAAATTTAAAGATATTCTTATGTCCCTGAGAAAAGTCACCCACTTGACTAAAGAAGATAGAATAAATTATTTCTTTTTCTGGTACTTCTACACAATGTAATTTGCAAAGTGGAAAAACACTTTCTGAAATTTTGGTTCAGGGACAAAAGTTTAGCTTTATCCAACCATTTCATATTTCCAATATGGAAATTTCATCTTAAAGAATCCTATCACAATAAAAATACTTCACATGAAAGTGGTTGTTATTAAGAAAAAAAAATGATGTTTAACCAATAGTACAAAGATGACTGTATTTCCATTATGATGAAGTGATAATTCAAACACAAAAATTTGTCTCAACTGCTCCATCTGATCTGCATTTAATGGCTCTTAAAAAGATTATGTTCTTACCAGAAGTAAAAGGAAGGAAGAAATAGAGACAGATAGACAATATTTTACATGCAAAAATAATCACACAGTATACATACTTTGGTCAGTTTATATATATTTTATATTACTGATATGTATAATACAGTATAATAATATATATTTAAGTGAGAAATTGTGGCCATCGATATAAACAGTAAAATGAGATTTAAATTTATTGTTTAACATGGTATCAGATAGCTTTCCTTAGAGATAGAAATATTCCCCTAAAAATTGACCCATAATTTTATGTGGGAATTTTATGGACTTACTTTGCAGACTTAGATTATATAAAATACATACATATAATAATGTTTTATTTTCTTTCTTGAATAATAACAATGATGTCTTATTGGTGTTAATGAAGTATTTACTTTAGAAAAAAAGAATTTCTACTACATCAAATTTTGTTTAGGTTTCACTTATTCGGCATTAAGAGTAATATTACTATCAATTTATGCTACACTTTTCAGAAATTTATTTCTGACTAGGCTCTGTATAGCAGGCTATTGAGAATAAAATTTTTGAAGGTTTGAAGGCAATGTGTATTGAATAACTATAAATAGTGACTATTCCAAAAATTGTCATTTCAAAGTTAACTGTAAGAAATGACTCTCAGCTCACAGCCTAGTGAAGAGCAGGGTGTACAAAACTGTAAATTTTAAACATTGATTAACCAAACATTATAACACTTATGTGAATTATAGCACTGGGGAAGAGACAGCGAGAAAGAGAGAGAAAGACAGAGAGAGTGTGTGTCTGTGTGTAAGGCTGAGAGGAAATCAGTACAGGTATTTTTACTCTTTACCTATCCAAATACATCTTCATCTTGTTCTGTGCCTTGGTAAAATGGTTCTCACACTATTTTTTCTCAGGTGCTCTTACTTCTTAAATAATATTCAGTACCCCAAAGACTTTTTAAATGTGAATACTATTTACTAATATCTACTAAAGTTAAAGCTGAGAAAACTTAAAAATAATGATCTTTGCTATTGAATAGCACTGTGATGAACATGAGTCTGTGTGTCTTTATGGTAGAACAATTGATTTTCTTTTGAATATATACCCAGTAATGGGGTTGCATTGAATGGGGATTCTGTTTTAAGCTCTTTGAGAAATCTCCAAACTGCTTTCCACTGTGGAAATGACATTCCCACCAACAGTGTATAAACCTTTCCTTTTCTCTGCAACCTCAACAGCATCTATTGTTTTTTGAATAGTTAATAATTGCCATTCTGACTGGTGTGAGGTGATATCTCATTGTGGCTTTGATTTGCATTTCTCTTATGATTAGTGATGGCACCTATCAGAGGTGGACTGGATAAAGACAATGTGGTACATGTACACCATGGAGCACTACACATCCATAAAGAAGAACAAAGTCAGCCAGGCGCAGTGGCTCACACTTGTAATCCCAGCACTTTGGGAGGCTGAGGCAGGCAGATTACGTGCAGTCAGGAGTTCAAGACCGGCCTTGCCAACATGGTAAAACCCTATCTCTACTAAAAATAAAAAAAATTAGCTGAGCATGGTGGCTCATGGCTGTAATCCCAGCCACTTGGGAGGCTGAGGCAGGAGAATCGCTTGAACTTGGGCAGCAGAGATTGCAGTGAGCCAAGATTGTGCCGCTGCACTCCTGCCTGGGCAACAGAGTGACTCTGTCTCAAAAAAAAAGAAAAGACTTTGTGGTAACATGAATGTTACTAATGTTACTTTGTAGTAATACAAATGCAGCTAGAGGCGTTATCCTAAGCAAATTTAACACAGGAACAGAAAACCAAATACCGCATGTTCTCACTTATAAGTGGGAGTGAAACATAAGGTACTCATAGACATAAAGATGGCAACAATAGGCACTGGGAACTACTAGACAGGGGAAGAAGGGAGGGAATCAAAGGCTTTTAAGCTGCGTATTGGTTACTATGCTCGGTACCTGGGTAATAGGATGATTAATACGCTAAATCTCAGCATCCCACAACATACCCATGTAACAAACCTACACAGGTACCCCTTGAATCTAAAATAAAAGCTGAAAAATAAGTAAATAAGCAATAATAATATAATTCTTCACTGGCATTATGAAAGACAGAAAAACTTTGTCTTCACATCTCAGATTTCAGGTTGTATGTACCATTCCATGAACAATGTGGACTGCAACACTTAATACAATTTCGTTATAGACTTCCATTTATTTTCTTCTGAATTTTCAGACTTTCTTCAGGCTCAGGGCAAACTTAGGGGCTGCCCTTCAGAGTCATCTCAGTAGCATCCTTGAAAGAATCAGGGAAGAAAGTGCAGAAATCAGATGACAGAAGGAAGCTGTGGCTACCGCAAGTTGAAAAGCATGTGGTTCCACTTTGGGGGCTTTGAATTCCAAGGCTCCCAAACACCACAGACCAGCAAGATCTCACGAATGGGATCCCACCCTTAAGTCAGTTTTCAACTGGAGGGCTGCTTGTGGAGAAGACAATTTCATTTATCCTAAGAATGACACATATGAGTAAAGGTAATATATCAACCACACTCAGGAGCTTTCTGCAAACCTGTAACATGGATAGATGTCTAAGATGCTCAGACCACTCAGGACAGACCCATTGCCTTACAGTCAAGGTAGGACAATGTACCTACACAAAATGACCATCCTGGTAGCCTGACTATCTGTACTAGTGCAAAGACAGCACACTCAAGACTTGCAGAGATGACACACACTGGGGAGCAGAGTGGCTGGGACACAGGCACTGACTTCATTTATTTATTCATCAGAGAATCTTTTTTATGCACAGCGTCCAACCTGAAAGATAGAGTCGCACAGATATACCAACCACACAGCTGACTGAAGCTAAAGGGTCAGAACTTAAAATTTCCCCTTTTCTCACAAGTTTGATGGTTTGGAAGGCATCACGCATCCAGTAAATTATACACATCTTAACGATACAGCTACGAAAGATGGATACTCCAGTGTTGTCCACATTGGTATGAAGACACAGCTGATTTTTATCACCCCAGAAAGTTTGCCTGCCCCACCCCAATGTTGCACAAGGAGCAGCCATGTTTCGATTTCGTATTTTAGCATAGATTTGGTTGCCCATTCTAGAACCTCACTGAAATTAAATGATACAGTACATAAAAAGTAATGAAATGATTACATATTAACATAAATAAGTTTAGTTACACATTAACATAAATAAGTTTAGTTTTTGAAAATACACATTTGAAAAATAATTATAATTTTCAAAACAAAGAGATACAAAAATAATACTAAAAAGTGTGACCTTGTTTTACACTTTGGCAATTCTTTTTCCTGTCTGGCTTAATTGAAAAAAGCTGAATTCTCACATTTGCTTCTGCTATCAATCTGTTGTGCAATTCAAGTTAGTGTGTATTGGTAAAGCAGACCTCTGGAAAAGAAGCCTTAATATCTAGTTTTGCTAATTTATTGTGGTGCGAATATTTATTCATGCCCGTTCAAAGCTATTAATGTGAAGTCACTGAAAGTGGACTTTAGAAAAGATGTATACCCACTTAGATAATTTTTTCATATCTGTCTCTCTGTTCATTAACTATCTCTTCATTTGTGTCTTCTGATTTAATTCTTTACACTGAATTCTTATCTGAAAAATGATATGCATGCATTTTAAGATATTCTATTCTAATCTTTTCTTCAGATCTGTTCATTGTTAATGGTGTTGTTATTATTTTAGTTTAATTAAATGCATTTTTAAGCTGTGTTTCACTACCTAAAATATGGGAAAGTTCATTTCCTACATTATTACCGAAAATTGTAAAATCTGAATTTTTGAGGCAGGGCAGGAGATCTGTTTGCCCCCTTTTGTATTTACTTTTTCACTCACAGGACCTCGATTTTTTGTGTTTTTGCTGAATTTGTCTGCTATTTTATCTTTCATTAGGTGAAATGTATGTGTAGATTGAGATTATTTGAGATCCGGAATGAAGATGCTTCCTATAGAGATGTTTGCTTATTTTAGGTGACTGATAAGATTTGATTCTGTGTCCTCACCCAAATCTTAACTTGTAGCTCCCATAATTTTTATGTGTTGTGGGAGGGACCTGGTGGGAGATGATTGAATCATGAGGTGGATCTTTCCTGTGCTGTTCTTCTGATAGTGAATGGGACTCACAAGATCTGATGGTTTTCAAAATGGGGAGTCTCCCTGCACAAACTCTCTTTTTGCCTGCCACCATCCACATAAGATGTTGTGTTCCTCCTTGCCTTCTGCCATGATTGTGAGTCCTCCCCAACCACGTGGAACTATAACTCCAATTAAACTTCTTTCTTTTGTAAATTATCCAGTCTTGGGTATGTCTTTATTGGCAATGTGAAAACGGACTAATACAGTGACCAAAGACACTACTAACTTAGGAATACCTTAAATTAAATAGATATGTTTCTTATTACCGCCAGTGTGAAATTAGATGCAAATCCTTATGAGGGTTGCTTATCCTTATTTGGTTCTTAGGGGACTAGGCAGTGATTATATTGCTAATTCACTATTAAAACTGAGGTAGCTGTCTCATCTTTATAAATGAAGAAATTGCTAATAGGCTGAATATTTTATGTTGATTCTAGGCTTAGTTTCATTTCCAAAATCAGGGAATCAGGCAAAAAATTATGTTAATTCCCCCAGTAGAAAACTAACTGTAGTATGCCTTCTATTTACTGGGTCAATGCCTTCAACTGATTTTGGCATGATAGTTCCCTCTGTGTGTGTGTGTGTGTGTGTGTGTGTGTGTGTGTGTGTGTGTGTGTAGTCCATATATGTTTTAGAGACCTGAAAATATTAATTACTAATTTTAGTATTCAGGAAAAAAGTATACACAGTGGTCCTGGAGCTTCTTGTAGCACCAGAAGGTAGTAAGGAATTGCTAAAAACACACAAAAGGCATATATTATCAATCTGATGGTTTTGATACAGGGTGAGTGAGCCCCCAAACAGGGGCTTAGCCTGGAAGGGTTTTTGGCTTTACCCAGGAAAGCATTGAATGGTGAGCTGGTATGTTAGACAGAAATTGTTATTGAAGTAGCAATGTGCAGCAGGTGTAGAAGTATTGCTTTTTGCACAGTGGAGCTACCCAATGGCAGTGTGCCCAGAGTAGCAGCTCAGAAGCAGTTCTGTGGTCATATTTATACCCACTTTTAATTATATGCAAATTAAGAGGCAGATTATGCAGAAATTTTTAGAAAGAGGATGGTAAGGTTGTTGTTATGGAAAGGTGTGGTAACGTATGAGTGTTGCAATAGGCATGGTAAACTGTCATGACACACTGGTGGGAGTGTCTTACGGAAAAGTGCTTACACCCTATCCCTGTTTTAGCCAGTCCTCAATTTGGTCTGGTGTCCAAGCCCTACATGCAGAGTCAAGTCCTGCCTCCTACCTCAGTTTTATTGATGTGAAAAGTAGACTTCTCTCCTTGATCACATACTAGTCTTTCAAAAGAAGGCCCTATATGCAGCTCAGTTTTAAAAAATAGTAGTGATGTCCTGAAGAGTAGCTTATCCATATAAATGTTTTTGGAATTTTTCTATGTATGTTTGTCTCTCTGCTCCACTTTTTATTCCTTCAATCATTTATTAAAATAAGTGTGGAATCATGGATATTTATTTTTATTTATTAGTATTGTTATAATCCAATACTAATTCATTTTCTGCCTCAATTTTTTCCAGCTTTTGCCATTGGGAACTCTTTTAGTCAGCTCTGTTTCGCTATGACACAGAGACCTACCATTGTGCTTCTGAGTTTTTAGCAATTCCTTACTACATTTGGCATTACAAGGAGCTCCAGCACCACCTTGTATACATTTTTTCTGAATACTAGAATTAGTATTTTCCAAAGAACTCCTAGTTCCCTCAGTTGGGAAATGATATTAGAAGTCAAGATTTGAGTGCTAGAAATATTCATTGCTAGTACAGTGTCATTGCCTTTAGGCCCTCTCGGCTGACAGAGCAAGCAAAGTATATTACATATATCTATATGAGTGTGTGTGTATATACATACACATGTATATATCCATGTCCTTATATACGTATCTCTCCATTCATCTGTCTATATATATGTATATTAAGCTAAACATAAATTAATATTGTTGCCTCAAATACTATTCCATTACCAGCTACACCATTAAAGCCTTCTTCAGTTTGCCTATACCCTCCCACTCCAAATGGAAAACACTGCCTGCCAGAATATGCCATGTATTTACTTAGTTACTGAAATCCAATATAAACATATTGTGGCATGCAAATTGCCAAACCATAGCCAACACTCATATTCTGAAGACTTGAAAATATTATCATCCTGCATTATTTGTCATTTAGAGCTATACTATAATTAATTTATATAACATAAGTATTTTTGCTGACCCCTTTAAGCATGTTTAATAAAATACTCTAAAACATTTGGACTGAGGAAACAATGTTACCAAGTAGAGTACAGCGCTTGTGAATGGTTTTTGTAGCCTTTAGTCCCTAGCCTTCTTCTTTGTAAGAAACTGCTGAACTGTCTTCCCAAGTGGCATGCCCACTTTTTAAGTTTAATTTTATTATTTGCATTCCCACTAGCAATAAATGAAAGTTTGTGTTTCTCTGAATCCTTGGCAGCATTTGGTATTGTCAGTAATTTGGATTTTTGACATTCTAATAGGTGGCCAGTGGTATCTCATTGTTGTTTGAACTTGGTGAAAAAATGGTGTTGAACACCTTTCCATATGCTTCTATATCATCTGTTTATGTTCTTTGGTAAGATTTCTGTTAAGATTCTTTTGCCACTTATTAATTAAGCTGCTTGTTTCTTATTATATAGGTTTTAGTCATTATTTGTGTATTTCATTTGGAAGTCTTATATAATATGCATTTTGTAAATATTTTATCCCAATCTATAGTTGTTTTAATTTTATTAACAGCATATTTGGAAGCAGAAGATTTTAATTTTAATGAAACCCAACTTCTCATTTTAATCATGCATCATGCTTTTAATATTGTCTAATAACTCATGAGCAAATCCAAGGTCACTTATACTTTTTCCATTTTATCTTGTAGAAATTTCATCGTATTGCATTTTACATTAAGGTCTATACTGTAGTTTGGATTGATTTTTGTGAAAGCTGAAAGGTTGATGTCTTTCTTCTTCTATATTTTTCTTCTCCTTTTTTTGCATATATATGTCCAATTGTTCCAGTAGTATTTGCTGAAATGTCTATGCTTTTTCCTTTGAATTGTCTTTAAAAGGTGATTATATTCGTGTCGATCTATTTTAGTGCTCTTCATTTGTTTCTTTTGATCTATTCGTCTTCTCATTTCCCAAATGTCACATTGACTTGCTTACTGCAGCTTTTGTAGTAAGTATTGAGGTTTGGGTTGGGTTATTCTTTTGAACATTCTTTAATATTGTTTTGGCTATTCAGGACCTTTGAATTCTGTATTAGTTTGTTAGTGCTGCCACAACAAAATACCAGAGATCTGGTTGCTTTAAAGAACATAAATTAATTTTCTCACAGTTCTGGATGTTAGAAATCCAGTATCAGGGTGTTAGCAGGTTTGATTTCCCTTGAGGCCTCTTTACTTGGTTTGTGGATGGGTATCTTCCTGCTGTGTCCTCACATGGCCTCTGTGCGTGCAAATTCTATCATCTTTTTATAAGAACATCAGTCCATTGAATTATGGCCCCAGTTTTATGACCTCCTTTAACCCTAATCACCTGTTTAAAGGCCCTATTTCCAAATACAGTCACATTAGGGGCAAGGACTTTTACAGGTAAATATAGAAGGAATACAATTCAGTCCATAAGAACTTTTTTTTTTTTTGTATAACTTTTTCCATCATTTAACTTTTTCTCTTTTGTCTTTAAATCCAAAAGTTTCTGTTATAGAAAACATTTACTTTGGTTTTGATTTTGTTTTCTTTTTTTTATTGCATTTTAGGTTTTGGGGTACATGTGAAGAACAAGCAAGATTGTAGCATAGGTGCACACATGGCAGAGTGATTTGCTGCCTTCCTGCCCATCACCTGTATCTGGCATTTCTCCCCATACTATTTCTCCCCAACTCCCCACCCCCACTGTCCCTCCCCTATTTCCCCCCGGCAGACCCCAGTGTGTGATGCTTCCCTCCCTGTGTCCATGTGTTCTCATTGTTCAACAGCAGCCTATGAGTG